TGATCGACGTAAATCTATCTGGAGCGCCAGTGGCAGTACTTCGGTTGGCCGTGCATCAGTGTGTGTGGTCGACGTCGTCGGGAGAGCTGGAGCAGTGGAGGCGGGTGCGTGCCAGCTTCGCCGTAGTCACAGGCTGACATAGAAACCGCGACCGGCTAACGGCTGTCACATTAGGGCCTGTGCTATTACTGGTCGTGATGATGGTGATGATGATGGCTAGGCTAGGCTATGATGGTTCACGACCTCAGACAAATCACCCTCGCGTAGATCTTCAATGTATGTACAGTGATGCGCAATGAAATCCGATCGTGAGAGCCAAGTTTGCGCCCTGCGCCAGTTCATATTCCAGTGTTGGCAGGTCTGGGGCTGCACAGCGCCCGGCGTTGCAGCGACCCTCTTGATCGGATTTCATTGAGCAGCACTGTATGAAGCAGTTACAGTCATGCATGTGGATTGGGTAGATCTACATAATCATTGCACTTCTAAGCGTTCATGTAACCACTAAGCACGCACGCACGCACCCAGACCAGTACTAGTAGCAGTATTGTGAGATACATCGATCATCGATACACATCCGGCCTTTATGCCATGGCATGGGTATGACTATGTGCAGAGAGTCAGCACGAGCAGGGCAAGGGATACAGTCATACTCATAGTCATACTGTCATAGACTCATAGTGTCATACACACTGATCTACACGATTCATCTTTCACTGTTGGCAGTGTTGCAGTGTGGGTCTACTTACTCGCCGACGTCCCCACCGGCACAGTCGTGTTGCACGTCCTGCTGGACCACCTCGGCACTGGGCGATCAATGCCAAATACGGCGCTGCGCCGGCGTTGTTGGTTTCACTATGTTGAGCGCACCGGGCGAGCCGGCGGAGAAAACGCATGCGCAATGTCATTTCGACGGGATGTGAGCGCGATCCAGCATCGGGAGGACTGAGTTGCATCACTCGACCTCACGCGCCTCAGCTCAGTTCTCGACGCTCGCTACAACTGGTAACCCTCTGGCGGTATACGTATTTTAGTTGTTTTTCTTCTCGCTGATGGGTTGGCCGCGTTGCGGATGAACTCCCAAGCGATCTCCCTGTCAGAGGGACGTCTGGGTGGCTAAACGTTTCTCGCCGGTCCCTTGGACAACCTCAGTGTAGACCATCATCACAGTCATCCACGGTAGTTTGTAACACGGGCTTCCTGGCGTGTGGCGTGGGATTATTGTTCTTGGCCATTACGGTCATGGCCGTGTTCGAGCGTGTGAAGCTTCCTGGAGGATGAGCAATTTGCTGTGCACAGACAAAGAGAAAGCAAACGGCACTACATGTGAATCGACTTGCAATGGTGAACATACAGATGATGATTGATGTACGCGTACATAATCATTCCTTGAATCATAATTACTAGTACAATAGTTTATACGTGTACATGTACATCTGAGTCCGTGAGCTACGATGACTGGGCGTAGATCTAGTATGCACCTGCAGACTTGCAGTACTACAGTGCTGGCAACTGAAATCCGACCCCTGAGCGGTGCGCTCACATCGCAAAGACCCAACACGGGATAGCAAAACTACGAAATTGAGACCGCTAGAATGTGGACGCACCGCTAAGGGGTTGGATTTCAGTTGCCAGCACTGTGTAGTACTGTACTGACTGCTGGCTAAGACTAGCTTAGGTAGGGATGGGTCAACGCTCATACCTTCTCCTCGACCCCCTCCCCCCCTCCCCTCACCACCACCCACTTCTGTACGTAAATCTATAATGCGGTTTTGTGTCACTCGCATACATGCACTTGTGTGTGCAAGCGCAAGTAGGCCACTGTGTTGGTACACAGCTCTACCCAAACAAACGAGCCAAAACATGTACGTCGCTGAGTGACGTGCTGAGAATATACAATTACTTTGTTTTGGTTGAACAGATCTAATTTCGGAATCCGTCACCCTGCATGCTGGGAGTCTTTTTTAATGTACAAATTTGTTAAACTCCAAGCTTCGACTTTGATGAGTTCATGTATGTGACTGAGAGACTAGGAAAGAGAGAGAGAGAGAGAGAGAGAGAGAGAGAGAGAGAGAGAGAGAGAGAGAGAGAGAGAGAGAGAGAGAGAGAGAGAGAGAGAGAGAGAGAGAGAGAGAGAGAGAGAGAGAGAGAGAGAGAGAGAGAGAGAGAGAGAGAGAGAGAGAGAGAGAGAGAGAGAGAGAGAGAGAGAGAGAGAGAGAGAGAGAGAGAGAGAGAGAGAGAGAGAGAGAGAGAGAGAGAGAGAGACAGATAGACAGACAGAGAGACAGAGAGAGACGGAGTTGAGTCGATGAGTGTAATGTTTCACCTGTTTGTCGGCTACCAAGCATCAACATCGTCTCCACTCCTCACTATGGGAAGGTGCAAGACATGATAATGGTAGTGAGGGTTTGTAGAAACAAGGACGTGTAGGATTTACATGAAATCATCAATCTATTAAATGCTACTGGAAGAAGAATGTACGAGCTTCCCAACGGCCGAGGGGAGCAGGAGAGAGGTGGAATCTTTTTGAACAACTTGAACATGTTGTGCTCAAACGTGATGAACGATGACAACACCGATTTAGGGATGTTTTCCAGAAACTTTGTTTCAGCAAAACGCGGTTTTTGCTTTCCGCATTCCTTACACTCTGCAATGGCCTTTCATAGAATGTACATGATTGTACACGTAGTGTTTGAGTCTTTACTCGACCCCGCCCCCACACACACCACCACCAAACGAGCTATGGGTGTGTGTGTGTGTGTGTGTGTGTGTGTGTGTGTGTGTGTGTGTGTGTGTGTGTGTGTGTGTGTGTGTGGTACATGGCGTGTGTGTGTGTGTGTGTGTGTGTGTGTGTGTGTGTGTGTGTGTATGTGTGCGAATGCGTCCTCCTTCGTTTATCTGGGGTCTGCCATCACTCCGGATGCCCATTCTGCAAGCGACGCGTCGAGGCACTTGTCACTCCCCTCACGTGCCTTTCCGGGATGCGTTTGCGGATGTGACCTTTCCTTTCACATGTGAATCGCCGCTTGTATAACGCCTGTGTGGTGACAGAGGCACTGTACGCTTCAGAGTGCTGGTGCCCTTTGCAGGGTGACCTCCCGCACCTTGATACCTATTTCCACCACTAATGCATAGATGCGCATCCTGTGTGTTTCGCGAACACAACAGTGGGGGGGGGGGGGGGGTGGTGGTGGGGGGGGGGGGGGGGACGCATCACCATTCACCAATGAGCAGCTCCGAGAGATGCGGGGTGATCCATGTCCTGCGGGCTTCGGAAGCGGAGGCTTGGATGGCTTGGCCATGTGTGTAACAGTTGCAACTTACAAGTGCAGTGATTATGTCCAAGCTAACAAACGCGCGTCCAATGTAATCTATCCGTCTCTGATGCGGGCCAGAAACATGGACGCCCTGCCCTCACTCGGATGACGAAATCTGCGATCCATGCCTTCTTTGGCTTTCCGCCGCGAATTTCCACTGCAGGGCTCTTCGAGAGACTCTGTCTTCCTACCTTCGAGGACGCCCTGGCAGAGAAAGTTCTAATAATTATTCGTTCGTCGCTGCATCCATTCCATGGCCGTTCGAGTGTCCTGCTTCGGAATTTATTACGTCAGAACACAGAGTGATCGCACCCGTGGAGCTGACCAAAACCTATTGCAAGTACATGTACAATGTACCCTTCTGGCCCCGTCCTTCTGGTAGAGGTACGATCCAGCTCATTGGTGCCATTCTCTGGAACAAGCTACCGCCCATGATGCATTGTGAACCTTGTCACACGCCCATTTCTGTGCTCTCTCGAAAGCGTCGAAGTATTCAAAGTACAGTTGCCAGCATGCACTGTAGAATGAAGTAAGTTGGAGACACCATTGCAGCTGTAAGACTAAGAGGATTGCCTGATGAGTCCAGCGGGGAGGAAACGTGCGTCGCAATCGAGCTGTGTCGTTGCTGTGTCATCTTCTATGTGCCATGCGCTACTTGATGTACCAGCCTGCTATGTCGGATACCGCCAACCATGCATCGACTAGGCGCCATGCGCGAACTGATGGTGGTGGTGGTGAGAAGGAGAGCTCTGTGCCAGAACTTTGCAGCCTAGAGAGCGTGTGTGAGCAGGCCGCGTGTATTTACCGCCATATTGCCAGGTGTGTCTTTACCACCATATTTATCAACCATGTTAAAGTATTCAAAGTAGGTCACTTTTTTATCTGTTCACCAATAGGCAATAGTCCATCCTTTCTTATTCTGTGTAAGATGTTATCTGATCAAATCCTATCCTGGGTCTTAGGAAATGCACTGCTTCGACATCTCATCGGTCATTTACACTCAGTGTATTCGGTTTTTAAGTTATTTCACTTGTGATTTTTTCTCCTTCCTCCCCACTACTATACTATTAAATTTGTTATGCTGCTCAAATGTATAGAAGGAGGCGCCATTGCATGTTTGGGGTGCGACTTTAAATAAAATTCAACAACAACAACAACAACAACAACAACAACCACAACCACAACCACAACCACAACCACAACCACAACCACAACCACAACCACAACCACAACAACAACAACAACAACAACAACAACAACAACAACAACAACAACAACAACAACAACAACAACAACAACAACAACAACAACAACAACAACAACAACAACAACAACAACAACAACAACAACAACAACAACAACAACAACAACAACAACAACAACAACAACAACAACATGTGTGACAGTGTCAAAGGTGAGAACAACGAGAAGGTGACAACTTGCCAGTTGTATGTAAACTGTTACATTATGGCTCGGATGCCGGATGTTCGTTTGACCAAGCAGCTGTTGTTTGGCTTTTCACCGTCGCCTCGGCCTGCGTGTGGCCCCCGTCGTCCCTGGAGCGATGTGATTTCGACTGATTGGTTCGGCACATCGGCATTGCACATCTGGCCTGGCATGAGATCGCTCGCGGGATCTGTCTGCCGTTGTGCGAGTACGCATTGCATGCCCTGTACAAATCTACGT